ATTTTTTAAGTATAAAATCTTCTACTTACAAGAATATAATTTTTTCGGTGTATATATATATATACACGTACACCGAAAAAATTGTATTCTTGTTTTGAGGAGATATTCCACTTTAAGTATATTTTATATTAAAATAGGCGCCAAGAAGAGTTTCTTATTTTAAGAGGAAAATCCTCTAAATGGTAATATTGATAAGAATATATACTGATTAGAATATAAAAAGTCTCTATAGAAAAACATATATATCTCACTATCGAAAAAGACTATATTCTTAAATGAAGAATATGTTCTTAAATAAAGAATATATTAATATAATAATAAAGAATATATTCTTAATTTCAGAAAAATATCATCTAAAATCTTTAAGAAGATTTTTTAAGTATAAAATCTACTTACAAGAATATAATTTTTTCGGTGTTATTTCACTTTTTCTCTTTTACAATTACAATGGCGTGACAATAAGGCTCTCTCTTGTTCATTCGTTTAGAAAATAACCGGGCTGCTCAAGTCGGTTGCTATATATAACGAGATGATATTGCGAGCGATCCGAGAGCGCGCAGTCTTGCAACTCCGCGCTGCATCGCAGGTACGTCTCGTGTTTCCGCGGTGTCATCGTCCGGTGAGCGCGTCTGTTACGCGCCGTTAAAATTAATATCGGTGAACAATAAGCCGGGTCGAGAGGTGACGAAAGGAGCGTTGTTCGCGCGACGACGACGACGACGACGACAACGACGACAACGACAACGACGACGACGGTGTCGACGGCGTGTTGGTGGCCGGACATCGGACACCACACCACCGCGCCGAGAGATAGCACACGCGTTACTCCGTACTCTGCACTCCGTTCCCTTCTAGGCTCGCTTACTGACAATCGGCGGTAAACGTATATATATTGCGTGCGACCGGGATTTATTTTTAGCAACCGACATTCTCGATGCGCACCTGAGGCGAGACAACGGCGTCGGATTTATCAGGACGGAAATACACCCGAGAACGAAACACTCTCTTATCAGAGCAATTCCGCGCCTATCTCTTTTCTTGAAGTTTTTTCGTTTTTCTTTTTTACTCGAGTATGAAGCGTACACCTCGCGATAAGATAGAGGGTTTTTGAGTTTTTTATAGCACCAAAAATAATCTCTTCGTTCTTTAAGGTTTAAACCGAGGAGGTGTTATCGGTTATATATTTCCTAATTGCTCGATAAAATTCATTGTGAGATAATTCTGTCTAAACCATGATCTTCGCACGATCTGAGAAAGAGAACATTTTTTACAAATACAACGTACTTTCGCCGCTCGGTCCTTTCCGATATACACTCTCGCGTATCAACGAGGATTAGGAGATTATCTGTCGGTTATTTTCCCATTAGTTTGAACGTAGATCGGCGTGTGAGATTTTTGTCCCGTTTTGGACGAGCAGTGCGAGAAAAAACAGGCACGAACACAGGTAGCCATTCCGGGTATTCTACAAGGGTCTACGGGCCTAATACCTAAAAATATGCTTTTTATATGTCACTGGTCACTTCTTACACGTCCTGGGATCAGTAGGATCCGCTCGAACGTCCGAGAATGCGATAGTCCTTTCCGCGATACGCAACAATATTTTATCACACAAAAATAAAAAAGCAATCGAACAAAAATCACAATTTTGCAGTGTTTGGTGCAGAGTGTTTTTTTTTTTTTTTTGTATTGTAGCGTAAATAAAATCGGTAAAATGGTGTATAAAATCAATTTTCGACGTGTTTGTGAACAAGATTGTTTTCATTATTAATTTAACAATCTATAATAAAATAATCTGAAATAAAAATGGTAATTAATAAGCCGGTTTAATAATTATTATTGTGTCTCGTACGGGACGCGCGCGTAGAGTAGTCTGTACTTTATGAAGACCCGCATGGGGCGCAAAGGGCGCATCCGTAATAGGTCGAAATTGTCGATTACACGGTTAGTTAGATGCGCTCGTAGTGATTTGAGGGTGGCGCGCGAACGGCGCACTGTCATCATCCGTCCTGTAATGTTTGTATGCATATCCTCTTAGGGAGCATCTTGCGCAGTCCACGTGTGTCGTCAAATTAAAGAGATAGAAAATAGACAAGAGCTCGTCTTCGTGCGAAAGTATGAAAAACAATAAGAGCGATAACATATTTTGATATTATTATCACAACAGGAAGAAATAATTTTCGCAAAACACACGAGCAAAGTAATTGTATAACTAAAATGAAAACCATTTAAAATTATAATTATTGTTTTGTTTTTTAATTACACTTATTTTTTAACTTGGATTAGATGTGTGTGTATGTAGGCAGGATAAAACTAATATCTACTTATATATATATATATATATAT